CCGCCCGCCCTCGCCGCACCCGCGGCTGTGCGCCCCCCCAGGGCCGCCCGAAGTCCGGCCCCGAGGACAAGTTCCGCCTCAACCCTGTGGCCCCTCGCCTGGCCGAGCTCCTGGGCCAGCCCGTGAGCGTCGCAACCGATCGCCGCAACCGATCGCCGCCTGATTGCACGTATGCAAAGTTGCAGACCTGTGCACTACACATGCGTGTGGGCCGCCCTCCAAGCTGCCGCTGCAGCCGGCCGCGCGGGGAGGTGGGGGGGAGGCGCGGCCTGGCGGCGGCGGAGCTTTGCATAGAGGCAAACAGGCCAGCAGGAGCGACAAACAACGATGGCCTGACTGTCATGCCGTCCCGTTTCCCTCCTTGATAACTGCAAAAATTAATCGCAGGTGACCAAGCTGGACGACTCCATCGGCGAGACCGTGGCCAAGGCCGTGGCTGAGGCCAAGAACGGCGACGTGCGTGGGGGGGGGGGGGGGGGGGACGCCTCATGATGCGAGGGCCGCTGCAGCCGCCTGAGTAAACGGCAGTATTGTTTGACCTGAGACCCGCGGCAAACGATGATTGATTGGGCAGCGCCTAGGGGATCGCGGCGAGCCTGGGGTCTGCCAACCTCGGCCTGCTGTCCACGGGCGACCTGCTCGCCACCAGGCGACGGCGGTAGCAGCAGCAGCAGCAGCTGGAGCCCTCTCCCATCAGCTGTACTTTTGCGGATGATTTTCCCTAACAGGCCTTGACCGCCCCCCGACCCCCCTTGCATCCCCTCCAACCGAAGCTGCTGCTGCTGGAGAACGTGCGCTTCTACAAGGAGGAGGAGAAGAACGACCCCGCCTTTGCAGAGAAGGTGCGCTGGGAGGGTGTGCTATTGCATGGCTTCCATTCGCTTGTGACTTTGAACCACGCACACATGTCTAGCGTGTTGGTCAAATCTTGCTGGAGGGTGCTCGACAACGCGAATAGAGGGTGTGTCGCGCTTCGAGGGGCCGGCTCAAGGCGGTCCGTTGGTTCGAGCGGGAGCGCAGGCGCCCGCGACCGCAGCTGGGAGCGGCCGGCCGCTGGCGGCGGCCGGCCTCGCCCCTCTCTCTGCTGACCCTTCCCTCGCTGCCGTGCCCCCTTTGCCACCCGCCAGCTGGCGGCCAACGCTGACCTGTACGTGAACGACGCGTTCGGCACGGCCCACCGCGCGCACGCCTCCACCGAGGGCGTGACCAAGTACCTGAAGCCCTCGGTGGCCGGCTTCCTGCTGCAGAAGGTGCGAGCGCATGCGCGTGCATGCGTGTGTCACGGCGCAGGGGCCCCACGTGCGTGCGGCCCATGTGCACGCACGTGCACGCAACTGCGCAAGAGTGGGGACGGCATCACCAGTTCATCGGGCCTGCGGTGCCCGGCAGGCCGTCGGTCATGGCACAGGTCGCTGCGTCTGTGTGGCTGACACATCTTGGGGACTCAGTCTGCCTGGACAGTCTTGCAATGCCCCACCCTCACACCTCACCGCTCCCTGCCGAGTCTCAGCCCACCTGATGCCCTCCATCCACCCAAGCACCCCACCTTCCAGCCCCTCCAAACCGCTCCAAACCCACCATGTGTGTAACCCGCCCGTAACCATGACCCCCGTGACTAACCCGGTGACCTCAGGAGCTGGACTACCTCGATGGCGCCGTGACCACCCCCAAGCGCCCCTTCGCGGCCATCGTGGGCGGCAGCAAGGTGTCCTCCAAGATCACCGTCATCGAGTCCCTCCTCAACAAGGTCGACAAGCTCATCATCGGGTGCGTGGGAAGCTCTGAATCCGGGGGTGTGATTGTGAATGGGGTCGCTCTGTGAGGCAGTCCTGTTGTCTGATTTTCTTGGGGTGGACAAGCTCAGCATTGGGTGGGTGTGCGGTTTGGAAGTGTTCAAATCAGCAGGGTGTGCAGGGGCACGCAGTTCGAATACCAGAGTGCCGCCTTGCGGTTTGTGCTGACAAGCCCATCATTGACTGGGGTGTTTGGGTTGGGTTTTTTAGGGTTTCTTGAAGGATTGTACTGAGGTGTCGCAAATCAAATTATACAGATGCTCTTGTCCAGGAGGCCTGCGACGATGTGTCAACCCTTGTCATGCACGGTTCTCTGAGGGTCGAGATCCCAGATTTTGATGCAGCGGGGGTGCTTTTTGCACCTGCTCCCGCTGTCGTGACGTCCCCGGCGACGCGCGCTCGCCCTTAGAGTCTCCCCTCCTTCAACACGGCCCGTCCTCTCAAAACCACTGCACACAGTGGCGGCATGGTGTTCACCTTCTACAAGGCCCGCGGCTACAGCGTCGGCAGCTCCCTGGTCGAGGAGGAGCAGTGAGTGACAAAGCATGGGTGTGACCTGCTTGCCGCCCTGCCGACGATCGGACGCCCGATCTGGCGCGTGATCTGGGAGGGGGCCGCCTGGGCGCCCCCTTGCAAGAGCAGTGTGTGCGAGGACACAGCCCTTTGATCCTTCCCTGCGGTCAGGGTCGGGCGCCGGCCCTGACAAGCCCATGCGGCGATGGAGCCGAGCCGCTCATGCTTGCTGCATGTTGGCTGGTGCTTCGCAAGCATTTTGACGTGCACCGCATGCAATCGCGGATGGGGGCACGCACTCACGCACGCGCACGCATGCATCCCTTCACTCCTCAGGCTGGAGCTGGCCACCAAGCTGGAGGCCCTGGCCAAGGAGAAGGTGCGCGGTTTGACCGGCACTCCACCACGTTTGACCGCCCCTTGACCAGGCCGCGACCGGCCGCCGCGCTTGCAGCCTCAGGCGCCGCGGCGCCCAGCCCTGCCGGCGCTTGTGGCTGATTAAGCACCACCCAGAGCACGCATCATCTCTGAAGTGGAGAACTTCAAAAATTTCAAAAACACCGCCAAAACCATCACCTCATGCTGACAGGGCGTGGAGCTGCTGCTGCCCACTGACGTCGTGGTGGCCGACAAGTTCGCCCCCGACGCCAACACCCAGATCGTCTCCGCCGACGCCATCCCCGACGGCTGGATGGTGCGCGCGCCCGCCCGCGCCCGCCTCGCCTGCCAGGCCGCCCGCGGGGCCCCGGCCGCGCCGCCCTTCCGCATGCCCGACGCCCGCCTGCGGCTGGGAAGCCCATGCATCAGACTGTTCGTAATCGCGCGCTCCGAGCGAACCGGCCTGCGTCCCATCACGTCACAGACCCCACCGC